ACATCCTGATGAATCTATTTCTGAAGGAGGCGTTCGAGGCCTGACTAGTGTAATGGAAGGGGAAAGGCGTGTGGAATAAAGTTTTCGGTATAATGCACGGTCGTATGAATGAAAAGGAAGAGAAGCCAGTCAGTCGGTGCATCGTGGTCGGGGCTTCGTTCTAGCTCGCTGGTTTTTCTCAAAGGAGACGCGTGGGTGGTGATTTTCTTCCTTTGTAACTCGATACCGTTTAATCGGTGCCTGTGCCCGGTTACGTTACGTGTTTCCATGGAATCGTGACGATCGAACCCTCGGTTTTATGGGAACGATCGTGAGTTCGATACACCAAGGTGTGCGATTCGGGCGAAAGGATGTTCAGGGGATGGCTCGATATTCTCGATGGAGGGAATGATGAGGGAAAGGTATTAAGGCGGATGGAGGGATTTGGAAGAAGATTTGGCATTGCCTGTGAGATTTGGACGAAGACACGGATTAGGACGAAGGTATTTCTTTGTTTTGTTTAATAAGATGAAGTTTTGATCGCAGTTGAATGTGATTTTGTTTGAAGGGCTTAGTGAGAGATTAAAGTGAGAGGAATGTTTTTTTTTCTCGTTTATATGTTTTGCAACTGTATTCGTTTATTTTTAATAAAAGATGAGATATAAAGTTCTTATAATAGGTATTTATGTTTCTTTTATGGCTGTGTTATTTAAGAGGGATTTTTAATTTCAATGTTTGTTTAAAGAGAACATGATTTTTATCAGATGTATATTTTTATATACTATGTTGTAAAATATAAAATATTTTTTATATATATCTGTTATATTTAAGACAAATTTTTGTCGGTTTTAAATCTCATTATTTATAGATTAGTTTCATATTTCAAAAATCATCTGTGTTAAATATATCCATTTCGAGTTCACTGTTTTCTTTCCTTGATTATCCATAACTACACTAAAAGTTTTTGCACGAATCAAGATTTACGTTCAAACATCCGTATCAAATGGATCGGCGAATTTACCGCAATCAGAGGTCCCGTTTACATACATTTTATATCATAACCGATGTTCGTCTGAAAAAAAAGACTATTAAACACCTTAATTCGACTGTGAGGAAGCGCAAGAAGATTTATAGCTCACGCGCAAAAAATTACCTTTGGAATCTGAAACATCGTTTCACAATGTTAAAATAATGATACGTTTTAAAAAGAAGCTATAACTTAAATGTCACTCAGCGAAAGTCACAAGAGAAATTTTATTAATATCCACTAATTATCCATTGGTTAAAAGGTATCATAATCTCAGTCTTGGTCTCAAACTCGCCGAGAGAAAGTCGTTAATTTTTAATTTTTAATTAGTTTGAAACTTACGAAATTCGTTCTAAGCGTAATGGCCGAGGAATTATTATAATAAATATAGAATTATCTACTCAAATTTTCAAAGTTTTTCTAAAGAAAATGATATTAAACATGTCCTAATGAATTATACCTATTAACTTGCTACACAATTTCAAGGGAAGAATGTTAAATTTTTCTTTCTATTCAATCTTACTTATTCTGAACTCAAAAAATGAACTCAAATAATGAAATTCTTAAAAAAAAATATCTGTTTTGTTAATTGTCCACAAGTTCAGATTCATTTAATGCGATAATTATCGAGGCAATACATAACTTCAATTCTGAATCTAATATAATCTAATGAGGTTAATGATTTTTTTAACGAATATTAACGAAAATTCGAAACTGTACGAGAAGGGTATACGTTTTCTCTCGAGCTCCTGTACACGTTTCGTCTCGGAAAAACGCGTGCCATGACATGTGGCGTATGCGATATGCACTTATACGGCCGGCTCCGGACACACGTGGGCACACTACATGCACTTTTTTCCCTGTCTCCACACCCTGTTCCTTCTTCTCCAATCCCAGAACGTTCCATCGGCACTGACTACATCAGCGTTTCTCAACCGTTCGTATCAATATACAAATGGTGTAAAAATTTTTTCAAAATTTAATAATCAAATTGAAATCAATTGTGTGTATTATGCAGATAAACAATATTGCGTATATTGTGTAGTTTCGAACGTGTTCCGAATAGTTTGAGCAACTCTCTTTGGAATCCATTGAATATTATGATTTAGCATTGAGAAACGCTGTTCTATATATAACGGATGACATTTATCGAAAGTAATAGGAGAGTGAAATTGATGAAGGAAATAATGGAAACTTTTCATTGGGAATTTTTAATATGATGATTCGTAATCACGTAACCGTTACATGATAGTTTTTGTTAGAAGTTTCAGAATTTGTATCCAGTATGAATTATCTTTCTTTTCTTTTTTAAGCGTGCTTAATTTACAATATTACAGCAATTAGGAGTGATTTAGAGCACGCAACATTGTGTTTAGAATACTTCAGGGTTAAAGTACCTAATACTTAAAATAATTAGAGTTTAGAGCATCATAAAAATGAGGATAATTCCTGAAGCGATTACCGCATATTATTTCGTATTAAAATGTTATTCAATGTATTAGTTAGGAAGAATTGTATTATATTTCATCTAATTCTTAAGATTCGTAATTTCTAATTTTACAAAATTTCTTCGATTCGATGTAATTTTCCGATTAAAAATTGAATCGATGTGAGTTTATATAATATATTGCCGCGATTAAGGATTAAATCACGAAACTAACGACGCAATAATATACGAAGAATATTTTTAGGCAATGTGCAAAATAGATTGCGATAGAAATTCATCGTTCGTTTTAATGGTTCATAAATTCGTAAATCGCGTTGGTTTGAACGATGATATAAATAACAACGTTCTTTTTTACATTCACTGTATCATTTAGTACATAAATTGGTGCGAATTTAATACCATGAGCAGTCTTATAAACGATGAGAAGGTATATACAGTTTGTAATCTTAACGTTACTAATATACATTAATGTCGTGGTTTTTATTACTCGTATTAATTCACGACAGTTATGATTAATAACCACGATAGAGTGTATCTTCTCCGTAATGATACGTGGTAATATGCCCGATATTCAATAGTGATTTTTTTACTTGTGTTTAAACGCGTGTGATTCTATTCAATATATTTGTATACCATGATATCATGCTTGTTTTTCACCAAATTTATTATTTAATCCAACGTTTCAAAGCGATTCGATAAAATTAATCAAACTATCTTAGATTTTCCGCCAAAGAAATTTCTGTTATATAATTTTAACATTAAAGAACATGCCAAAAAGAATCGATTTATATTTCTTTAAATTTCCCTTCTTTATAGATTTATCAAAATGATAATTAGATTTAGATAAGAAATTTAAATTAGAATTAATGAAGAGAGATTCATTTCTCTAAGAATAAACTAATTTACGACGGAAGATTATTCGCTCTTTCAAGACAAGAAGAGAATACAATTAAAAAAGTGAGGATTTAGATATAATTGTTCATTGTATCATTGAACTGGATGGATGAGAGTGAAGGATACATATTGTTAGCAATCGTTCACCGCGACGAAAGATACGCGAGGAAATAGTGCATGGACGGTTGGTAGAATCTGAGAGGAAGGCCGTGGTCAAAGCGGTCGTTCGTTTTCGATATAAGATGGATGTAATTCGAAACTGGGAACGGGTAACGCACGTTCAACCGTAAAGCCGTAACCGTGGTAGTGATAAAACTGGCGCGAGTAAAGGAGACTTCTCCTCTTTCGTTCGTAGACTGATAGTTGTCTGGTTGGAAAACGTTGCTAAACATCCTTGGAATGCTGGGAAAGTGATCGTGAGATGATTTTGCTGAACTTTACGCCTCTTCTTTTAAGTTCGATTTCAACGTTAGCTTTCTTTGATTTATCTCTTCCGTTTCTTCTTTTATTTTTATTCATCGTCGAAGGAATTCGATTTTTTTTTTCTTACTTTTAATATTAAACTCTCTCGAAAAATTCTCGAGTTCGTAGCTTTATTGAAATTATTATTATTATTGTTATTATTCTACAATAGTATATATCACGAATATATGAATGTTGAATAAATTATATAGGAAAAATATTCAGATTCGATGCCGCATTGTAAAAATTCATTTTAATAATGTAATAAAACAATTGATAAGATATAATATCGATCATATATTCAGCCAATTTTAAGTTGTAATGTAATGTGCGATATTAACTTGTAATAAATATTATTATATTTATATATTTCGTAAAAAAAAAGTATAAAGTACTCGCTAGAATAAATTTGTTAAGTCGGGTATTTTATGTACAACAAGCTAATAGTTACTTGAAATGTGAATATTTGTTGGAATAACAAGTTTGAATATTTTTAATTTTTTAAAAATGTTTACTGCTTGTTTTAGATTAATCGTGTTTCTAGTTGATGTTTTCTTCGAAAAGATTGACAATGAGACATCAAGTTTCACGAATCTTATCTATTCTTACATTTAACTCTAATAAATACTAGATACCGATGTTTCCACAGTGCATTATATTTGCTCGACCATCATCTTTAACGAACAGCGAAGAAAATTATTTTTTTATGCGTTGAAAGTATGC